CGACCATCGATGTGACTCGTCTCACGTCAGTGTTTTGGGGTTGTGAACTTGTCTAAGACCCCCCATAATTAGACATCCAAATTCAAAATTCACATAGTTGGGATTGATCATAAGATGCCTTCTCTAACTAAACAGAGAAGGGGGAGATGCCAGAAGCCAGGACCCTCACCCTTACCCTCACCCCCTACCTTTCCCCACCTGCACAATGTCCTCTGAAGCTTGGCAACTGCAAGATCCTACTTAGCAACTGCAGATAGACTCAAAGCAGAGTACCATATCATCTTAAGAATAGCAGGGAGACCATAACTCAAGCAGTGTACTATATCTTCTGAAGAACAGCAGGTAGATCATAATTCAAGGCAGTGTACGTATAGACCATGACATGTTTCAAGGCACAGGCCAAGAAGATTTTGTACTTTTCCACCACCTGGCCCCTCTTACCTCCTCCCCTTGTAAGACATGCTATAAAAAAAGCATTTCATGTTCAAAAAAAAAAAGAAATTAAAAAAAATTAATAAAAAAAAAGAATACTGAATTGGTACCCCAGGCTTCTATATAGTGGTACATCCTTTGGGCTCTATTATAGTTCCATGTCCTTTTCCATACTGTGGCTGGAGGAAGAACACAGGCTCTGAACCTGCTTTTGCTTCTCCCTGAGCATCCTGTCTTTACCTTACTGTCTTTATTTGCTTTAATTAGACACAAATATAGAAAAATGGTAGTAATCAAATTGACTTCATCCATTAAGCAGGCACTGAAGACAGATTTGGGAAACAGTTACAATAAGTAAGAAATGATTATGGACAAAAAACTGACGATAATTATTTTCTTGGTAAGAAATGTATCTATTTCTCTTTTGATTTTAAAATCTAGTCATGTTTCTTGCTTCTGTATCACAAAAGCAAGAGCACAGTCTTCAGTTGAGCTAAAGACTGTCTTCCCTTGTTGCACAGTGTTTGCATTTTTGTATCTCTTGGTTTTTGGATTTCAGCTAGAGTTACCTAAAGTTTTAAGAAAGAGACGAAGGAGAGCCTTCGAGTAATTCTAAGGCAGATACTCGGGTATAAAGCCTCCCTTGAAGCATCCTATGATTTCTTAGCTGTATTCTTAAAGGCCTTAGTTTGGACATAGAGCATGAAATTTTTGAATGTCTGGTGTTTCTTGATGGATGCATTTTCATTCCCTAAATATTTCTCAGTGCGGTTAACATAACAGTACTTTCAGTTTTCCTTTAATTCCAAGACTGGATACATTGGTTGACATTACAGAACTAAACATCTTTCTATGGAGTTCTAGTCCTGAAGGGCTCTGTTAGGAACAGGAGAATCTTCAATTTCAGAAACAGGTGAAAGGGAACAGCTTCAGCCTTTCAGGCCACACCAAGAATTTGTTTAGTAAGACACACTGTCTTAAAGGATGACAATCCCCATGTTTCCCCTGGAATTAATTAATACCCAAGGGCAATTTTACAGTGTCATTTACTCATATTTACACTGGAACCTGCTACCTGCATATCTTTTGGTCATTGATCTAATGCATATTTGATAGGGAGAATTTCCTCTAACTTTGAAGTCAGAATTTTGGGAAGGCTACTTACAATGACATCACGCTTAAATATTCTCAGAGGGTTTCCTGTTTGACAACCATAGTTTTAGAAGCTGTACGAGTACAATGACAGTGATCTGTTATAAAAAATACAGCCAGGAAACTGCTTACTGTCAAGTGGTCCAAGGCATACACATATCGCTAATATGGAGGCCCAGCTGGGTAGGTAATATTTGTGCTAGGCGAGATGTGAAGGTCAGCACTTGATCTGACCAGCAGGCTCTGAGGAGCACTGAGACAGGAGGACTGTCTATAAGGGGTCCTCCCTTGCACAAAGACTTCCTCTCTCTTCACTTTTGCTTGTTCATCCCAAGTCTTGAGGTGCCTGAATAGAAAATTTATGATGCTTCCAACACATTAAGGTGACACAGCACATACAAAATTAATTACTGCGTTGATTTCTAGATGTTAGCTAAATACCAGTCTATGTGAGTAAACATCACAGATACATGAGTCAGTTCAGTGGTCATTTAAAAAAGTAAAAAACAATAAGAGAGAGAGAGAGAGAGAGAGAGAGAGAGAGAGAGAGAGAGAGAGAGAGAGAGAGAGAGAAGGAAATCTCCAAAAAGAACCCTGAATTGTGGGAATTGGTTTCTCCACTCTCTAGATAGACAGTATTTCCTCAGTCTTTCCTTCAAAAAGGGCCTCCATATTCCTTCCCAGTCTTCAGCCTCTTTGTCCCAGCCTTACTCACACTGACACACCTCTCACATTGTGTATAGGACTCTCTTCTGATCTCATTGCTGGGTTTCACTACACCATACACCCCCTGCTACTTTTCTGTTCAGGGTTTTTAAATTTAAGAAACATGAATGTCTCCTTTTATTCTAAAGCAGTGGTTCTTACTCTGTGGACCATGACCCCCTTGGAGGTCAAATGTCCTTTTCCCAGTGGTTGCATGTCAGATATCTTGCAGAGCATAGCATAGATTTACATTACAATTCAGAATCGTAGCAAAATTACAGTTAAAAAGTAGCAAGGAAAATAAATGTATGGTTGGAGGTCACCGCAACATGAGGAGCTGTAGGAAATGGTTGGAGCTTTAGGAGGGTTGAGAAGCACTGTAAAGTGTCTCTCATGCTTCCCACATCCTCCAGACTCCACAGGAAGAAGTCAAAGGTAACTCTGCTCTTCCAGCCCTAGTTGGGCACAGCCTCCATCCTTTCCTAGTAGCTTCATTGGTTTTCTCATTTGTAAAATTCTGGATGACGTATATCCTTGTTTTGAAGAAGTAAGAAAGGAAAAGTCTCATAGACAGTAGCTGACAATTATAAATGTTTATTATAAATGGCACTATTAATATTATTAACACCAACACCTTTCATACCTTAACTTTTCTAGCTTCTACATATAACTATTATAATCATGATTTCCATTTTTTATTATGATTACTTTTCTCTAGATATAGACTCTTACTTAATATCTGGACTCTTAGAAAATAACAAGTTCAGAACCCCCATGGGAGCAACAATTTGCCATTTCAAAATTCAGTGGTGCTTAAAAATCACCAATGAGGAATTCACCATCTTCATACAAACATTCTTTTCAGTATTGAGCTACTAAAAATTTGTTTAATCCAATTATTCTTAATTATATTCCTTATACTCAGTTAAATAATACTAGTCCTTTGATGTTGATTCAAACTCACATCAAGTGAATTTTACATTCATCCCTTGTCTCTTCTGTTTTAGATACATTCCCACAGTTTCTCTGAAATGAGTTACTAACTGTATGCCTCTCCCATTGCCTCACTTCCTGGAGTTTTTCCTGGCCTGAAGCATCACAATTCAAGACCCTTATGTCATTCAAATTCAACAGCTTCTGACTCACACTGAGGAAACATAGTTAAGACTTAGTGTCTGTAACTTTTGTAGTCTGGCAGCTTATTCTTAATAGTAGTTACAGCTGTTAATATTAAAGGTTTTAAAAAAACAAAGTAACATCACAAATTAAATTAGCTTCTAATACATTTTCAACAAACAGAAAAATCAATTGAATATGAATGTAGTAATGTTCTCTCTCTCTCTCTCTCTCTCTCTCTCTCTCTCTCTCTCTCTCTCTGTGTGTGTGTGTGTGTGTGTGTGTGTGTGTGTAGGGGGTTATTTACTCATGTGTTTGCGTGGATATGTTCATGTGTATATATGTGTGCATGTGTGTATGTATGCATATAAATACCAGAGATTGACATCAGGTAACATGTTCAATTACTCTCCAAGTTAATTTATGAGACAGAGTGTTTTGCTGAACCTGGAGCTTGTCAATTCTGCACAGCCAGCTGGGCAGTGAGCTCCAGGGATCTGCCTATCTCTCTTTCCCCAGTGGTGGGATCCAGATGCATGCTGCTTTGCTCAGAATTTTAAATAAGTTCTGGGGATCTGAATTCATGTTCTCATACTTGCAAGGCAAGGCCTTTAGCAACTATGTCATTCCTGACCCCAGCCCCCTTCATTCTATTCTCTTCTAAGATGAAGCTACCATTGGCTAAGTCATTACACTTGAGCAGTGTTATTTTAGACAGAAATCCAAATAAGGACATGTAAGAATAAAATACTGATAGTTCTCATAAAAGTTTCAAAAACATATAATTATTAGAACTGATAGATTTAGCAATATACATGTTCTTGGTTGTTATTAACGTAGATGATTGTTTTCAAAGCTGTTAATGGTTATTTTTCAATGGATCCTGATCAACAGCTATAGTTTAGGGGAAAATCTGGAGCTTTTTCTGGGGCCATAGACAAAAGGATTATCCCCAAGTTTAATAACGTATGATGAAGGCTCTAAAAGAGCCTTTGAGATGGCCACCTCCACCCATGTCATCTTTATTGGACCTACTCTTTTGAAAGGCATTTTCTTTTATTGACTCTTGGGAAACCTGTTTTCATTGCTTTATTTCTTTAACATTTAGAATAGGACCACATGTGGCCGTCTATGGGAGTTGCCTTTTCTTTATTCCTCTTGTGGTGTTGCTAGAGTTGTTTGTGTTCATACCTGGGTCAGTTTCCTAAAGAACCTTCATTTGTCTGTAGTCCCTTAGACGGCTCAGGGCAAGCATGTTTAGGGGAGTTGCATTACTCCTGTTCCAGGTTTTAGGCAGTACTCTATTTAGATTCATTGAGAGGAACAAAACCCTTATCAGGAATTCAAACTCATGAGCAGTTGTACTTTTCTGCTATGCATATAGCAACTGCTTCTTGCTGAATTCCCACAATGTATATTTCTTTGTGATATATTCATGCATTTTCTTTGTGGTATTACTGCAAAATAGCAAAGTGCGAACTGGGGATTTGAATCATCTTTACTGTTGTGACAAATGATAAAATGATTTCTATTCATCGCTCATACTCTTCTATGTGTTTGTAAAAGTCATATTCCTGGGATTAGGGGCAGCTTACCTTGTCGGACAGCGAGGGTGGTGGTATATACCAAGAAGAGGAGAATGTAGTTCAGAAAGCTCTGGAAGACTGGTGTGTTCGCATGAAAATCTTCTGCCAGGTACTTACTGGTCAAGCCAATTCCACAAACAAGAAGGGATAACACTTGGCCCAAAGCCACAGAGATTAACATCTCCCTGAGAAATGAAGCAAACATAGCAACATCAGCAGAAAACCCATGAGAACAGTGAGAGTGAAATCCATTGTTAATTCTTAGCAGACACTGAGCTAAAGACAGTGGATACTATTTATTGCAATCCATTGAAGCAATGCTAGGGACCTTTACAGTTGATACTGAGGCTTTATAGAGATGGAAACTAATGCTTGACATGGGTAATTAATTTTGCTCAGAGAACACATAATGAGAATAAAGCAAAACCAGGTTATGAGATTGAGTCTTAGTGTAAGAATCTGGCTTTGTCACAGCCCTCCAGAAGCTGTCGAGGAAAGGGACTGTTGTCTTGAAGCAAAGTCTGTGGATGAGTGATGCTGAGAGCATGCCCAACTCTATAAGCAGAAATATATCTCAGCATCAACTGTGTGTACAACTAATCAATAGTGGGAGAAACTTTGCTTTACAGATCAAGCTCCTAGATCCAGAAACTCTAGACTGAAAGGACTTACATCTAGAAATCCACAAGAACCACTTCTTGTGCTCTTCTAGACTCTGGAATTCTGTTCTAAGAAGCTTTATTTAAGACCTTTATTCTGTTTCTTAAGTTACAATTGTCTGTATATTAAAGCTATTGTTCCTGAAATAGATTCAGGACTGTGGTGGTATAATAATTATGCAAATATTTTCATTGTCGTTTTCCTAGGCAGTGCTCTTGTAGAGTACTGAAGTGGGGACTGGAGGCAAGAGTCTGTGTTCTGTTTCCATGGAAATGAAATGCCCACACAAGCTTTGTAGTCATACACACACACACACACACACACACACACACACACACACACACATCATACACTTCTACTTTGACACAGGAAAGCCTCTGGAAATAGGAGGCAGACTTTTCTCTGAAAGTTTCTTCTGACCTTTGTGGTTTATTTGTAAAATCAGCAATATAAAATATGAAGGCTGTGGTCTCAACACAAAGACTTTCAGCAGAGGATATGTAATATTATATATTTCTTCCCCCATGGTAGACACGGTCCATTTTTTTTCTGGATGGAGCATGGGTCTATTTCTTCTTTTTTGGAAGCTAGATTGACCTGGCTTTGCTTTGATCACTAGAGTACAGAGAAGGTGAAGCCATGAGCCTTCTAGGCCTAACCTGTGAGAAGTTTTGCAGCATTTATGTTTTCCTGCTAAGAAACAGCTTCTCAGTAAGGAGCCTGAGGTGTGCTATTGAATACGAGAAACTCCTGGGAAATAAAGAGAGAAACTCAGGCAGCCTTTGTGCCAAACGTCTGAGTGAGGGTTTGGAATCCTCCTGCCTCCATCATACTAAGGCAACCTACACACAGAAGAGGTGAGGGATCCCCAGAGACTGTTGGCCAACTTGGAGAGCTATGAAAAAAATGAAATGCTGTTGTTTGGGGGCAAGCAGTTTTCCAAGAAAAGGACAACAGAGAGCTGGAAGGAAGCCCTGGATATTATCTCTCCAATGGCCTCTGAGTTGTTAACTCCTGCCTCTCCAGCCCCATAGCATTTCTCCATGATGGTAGCTACTTCAACTGAATCCTCGTCTTCTTCTTCCTGTTTCTCCTCCTTCTCCTTTATTTCCTCGTCTTTCTTCTCTTCTTCTTCCTCTTCCTCCTCCTCTTCTTTCTCCACTTCCGCTTTCTGTTCTTTCTTCTCTCCTCCTCCTTCTGTTTCCTCTTCATGTGGTCACAGATGATCTTGAATTTATGATCTTCCATAATTTAGGTGTACTAAAATAACATGGAATTTTGTTTGTTTGTTTTCTGCAGTGCTGAGAATCAAACTCAGGGTTGTGAGTTCAACAAGCACTCTGCCAACTGCACTATATCCCTAGTATCCCTTGTATTTTATTCTTAGAAAATACTCTGTTTGATTACTTGCCTCACATTGATTGGAGGATTTTTTTTAACAGTTCTTTAGATACTTTAAGTATCAGACCCCTGTCTGAAATATTGCTGTCAAAGATTGTTCTTCATTCTGTAGCCTGTCTCTCTGTCCTGTTAATGGTTCCCTTTGTTGTATAGAAGCCTTTTAATATTGTGTAGTTCTATCTGTCAATTCTTGTCTTGGAAACCTAGGGTTTAGAAATTTTCATTAGTGGGATAACTAATGGTGACTACACTGGTTGAAAATGATGAGAAAAAAAGAAATCATGTCAAGTTTAAAGAGTTCTTTGATGATATTTGATCTAATAAACATGTGGCACAACATTAATCATAGTAGCTAAATAATTAATTTACAGCAGATTAATAATAATCCTACGATTGGCAATTCTTGATCATTTACCTAATCTGCATATGGAAATGGAAAAGATATTGGTAAAGTTATAGTTAGTGTATTCAATGGTTGCTTCTGAGGCTGAGTATGTACTAGGGAGTGTTGTGTGGCGTGTCCCTTCTTATTGGAAAAGGCTAAAACAATCCTATGGCCTACTTAAATTACAATGATGATGTGTAAGATCTTGCTAACATCTAGAACCAAGTAAAGATACACAAGATTACCAAGTACTTATACAAGACAGTGGAATTTTAACCTATCATGTAACTGACTCCGACACTTTATAAAATAGCCTTTTATATGCTTCATATAAGATGTGTAAAATGAACAAGAGAGAGTCTGTCATTGGGACACCATTTAACTAAACTTTGACACTGGATTTTCGTAAAGCTTATTACAAAATAAAAAAATAGAAAATAAATGGAAATACCATGTTTGTAATATATTGGGAATAATTTATACAAGTTTTTTTAATCCTCAGAAAATCTTATAAAGCAAATGCTGTTATTGTGCCTTTTGATAGATAAGGGCCTAAGCCAAGGTCACAGCTGCTAAACACACACATACACACACTCACACGCACACACATATATATATACTTAAATATAATTTAAAATTGTATATATATATGTATGTGTGTATATATGCATCTATGCATATATATGCATGTATGTATGTATATATATATATATATATATATATATATGATTTCAAATTGTTTTAAAAAGAAAGAACATTAGACATTTGGCCCACAGTCTAAATAGTCTTTGCTATCAATTTGGAAATGAGACCATGATGTGTCAGATATTACAATAGGTGTGTTCTTTTAGCCAATGTTTTATACACAATGGACCCATTGAGCTGCAGATGTCATCTGATAGGGGTGATGCAATGAAAATTTGTACATTACTTCCTCTGGTCTTTTACCTACCAAGCAAAATACATTAGATTGTGATTATATAAAGTCTTTTATTTAGTGCGAACAGTAAAAGACATAAACTGTCTCAAATACCCACTGACATGAAGAGATAACAAAACCTAGTTTATCATCTATATAATAAAAATTATTTTAAAAGGAATAATATACAGATATAAACTGTTTTATGAATAGATCTAGTAAACATTTGAACTAAAATACAATTTAATACCAAACACTATGGGCATGATTTCATTTATATGTAATGTCTAGGCTTCAGATGTCCACAGAAATAGAAAGTATATTAATGGTTACCTAGGACTGGTAGAATTGAGGACAGAGGGTTTGACTGACAATGCTATTTTGCTTCCTTTTTATGTTATGAAATAGTTCAAACTGAAGTGAGAGGTAAAAAAAATTGATTATATATTTAAGTGCAGTATTTACTTGTGTGTACACATTCACTGGTGTGTATTTATATGTGTGCATGTGGAGGAAATGAGAGGTTGGCATCAGGAGACTTCCTTTATTCCACAGAACTACATTTCTGAACTTGCCAAACTAGACATACATTAGGCTGAAGCTAGGTGATACTATGTCAAGTCCTAAATTCTGAATTACTATGCTCTGTCACCACTAGCTACAAAACTATTCTGTTTTCAGAGAGTGTATGGAGCACAGAGCTAACCTAACAAGCTGGTTTTTGGAAACACTTTTCAAACAGTAAAGACAAACCCACAGCTAGTCTGACTGACATGAACTTTTCTACGAAAGGCCCTATGATGGCACCTTTCAAACAGAGGCCAACATAAACCTACCTTGTTTTGTTAGCTAAACAAAGCTACAGACCTACCATATTGAGTATATTCTTTGATTTATCGGCCATGCCTTTCAGCCACTGTCGGTCTGATTGAATTGAGAATACAAATTCTGATTTTATAGAACATGCTAGTAAACATCATGTGAATGGCAGGGGATGGGTTGCAATGACTCTCTTACCAGAACAGCACGGGATGGGTT